TGAGCCAAATAGCATGATGCATTAATTTTTCAGTTTTTATTTTAACTTACTAGACCTTTTGTTGGCATTTGTCTACTGACAGTTGGCCAACAGTATTTTATTAAAGGAGCTGTTTTTCATTTGATTTTCAATCTGATATGTTTCACAGATTCCAGACCTCAAAGAAATAATCTTGATCGGATTCTACCAGTCTAGTGAAAATTTGTCAAAGTTTATCACAAATGCCCAACAAGAATTTAATATTCCTATCAGGTATTCTACAATAAATTCTTGTACTCTTGAAAGTCATTATTATATTAATAATATAGTGACCTTTTTAAGGATTTGGCTCCAGATCTGCTATTGATTGGGAATACTATCAATAGTAAAAATGATAAAGGCTGACGGCATTATTGATCTACATGTAAATGACTATTTCACCCCTTATTGTAATGATTTTTTCAGCTCGTAGGGGCTCGAATAGACGTTTCCACCTCATTTTGTTTTAAATGTTGACATGAACTATTTGGCATAAAGTTCCTTAAAATGTGAAAACTTGCCAAGTTTGAGGGTGATACAGTGAATGTGTCCGTGTTAACAGAGTGTTTGTATTAAGGTGGGTTGAATTTAGAGAAAATGTGTGGCTTTTTTTTGACAGGGATAAATCAAACTATAAAAAATTGCATAAAAACTTTTCTTAAAAACATTTAAGAAGTTTTAATAAGTTAAAAAATACATGACACTTTGACATTACCGGACGTCATTATCAAGTGAAAAGAAAATGCAATGTGAATGTTCTATAAATACAAGGAAAACAATAGTTCATTAAAAGGAAACTAACATATAAAAACATGTTACCAGTCAAACAAAGAGTTTTGCACTGATGGAGTTACTCTGAGTGTTAACTCCGGGTCCAAGTCGCTTCTTTTTAATAAATCAAACTGTCTGTAATATTGAGGTGTCCGTATTAAGGGGTCGTCTGTAAAGCAGGGGTTTGACTGTATGTCAGAAGCTTGTGAAGATGTAGCTTTGCAAATTTGCAAAATTTCACAGCCATTTGTATGGTGGGTGGTTCAAACTTTCCCCACCATTCAGACGTTGATAAGAATTTGTAATTTTGTAGAGCCCATCAAATTTCTTAAGTTTTCAACATACCAGAGACAAATGTACATTAGTGATAAAAGAGTAAAAATAAATGCAGTCCTTCCTTGTCAAAGTTACTGTTTTGATAGTTAGTCACTGTATAAATATTTTTATACAGATATCTACAAGAGTTCCAGCCACTTGGTACTGCAGGTGGTTTGTATCACTTTCGTGACCAAATATCCATGGGAAATCCAGATGCTTTTGTGGTCCTGAATGCAGACATCATGGGTGACTATCCTTTACAGGAGTTTGTTGAATTTCACCAGCAGCATTTGGGTGAACATTCAATCCTGGCTACAGAGGTAAGAATCTTGTTATCACAGTGAAAATTGTAATCATTTTGTTGTTACCGTGAAACCTGTGTTTTGCAGTGATTTTGTGACAAATAGTGATTGTTTTGGTGAGTCCTGGGACTCATCTTGAGTTTATGTTACTCTTAAGCCTATTTGATAGTGTAGAACTAATCCAGTACAGAAAAGTATCACTTATAATAGTAAATTATGTTTCTTTATCCCCCAGGCAAACAGAAAACAAGCTCATAACTTTGGTTGTTTAGTAGAAGACCCTGACACACACAAGGTTAGAATTAACATGAAGATTTTGCAGTACGACAAGTTAACTTGTTTCAAATTACTGTCTGATATGAAAATGCCTGTTACAGTGAGTCCCTGTAATGTGTTGCATGGAATTCGACTGATAATAATCTGTGCGCCATGAAGCAGGCACAAAATAACCCAGGTTTTCAATGTATTCTATTTACAGTGTAGTACACACTGAGGGACACATTGCAGGAAATCTTTGCAATATATCCCCCTATGTGTCCTAACCTTTATATTAAAAATATATTACAGTCGAACCTCCTGTAAGTGACCACCCAAAATGCAAAGACTGAGTGGCCGCTTACAAGAATTGAACCACAGGGGTCTATTCTGAGAAGAGGTCCAGACACATCTACTTTATGAAAGATCTTTATTGCATACAATGTCTAACTTATGCCATGTGTAGTTCCATGTTGTCACTAAAGTTCTTCACGCATTCTTAATAGCATAGTGCACACAACGAACATACAGATCAAAGAAAGCGTCAAGTGGTCGCTTACAAGAGGTTAAAAAACAGGGGAAAGTCATTAACTGTCAGGCACAAAAAGTGTTCGTGGTTACTTCCATGACTGAGGAGGTGGTTGTTTACTAGAGGTTCCAACTGTAATGCTTTGACTAGGAAAAATTTGGTGTTTTGGATTGGCGGTCGCTTATGGGAGGTGATCACTTACAAGAGGTGGTCGCACATGGAGTTTCGACTGTATTATTATAATTATTATTATTTTCTGTGCTACAGCACATGTGATAAAAGATTCATTACCACATTCACCTTCAGCAAGCTTTGTTACTTGAGGGAGAAATCAATAAAATAGGTCTTTTGCATTAGTTGATCATGTGATCAACTTTCTGTAAACATGAAAACAGTTCACTTTTGAGAAATTTTGTTAGCAGAAACTGAAAGAGCATATTAAAATTAGGTAACCTGTAAATTTTCAGCCATATATCTCAAAAATAACGATTACAATGGCTGCTGAAAAATAGAAGAATGTGTATGGGAAAAACAACTCTTGCCACCCAACCACGCTTGAGTAGTTTTCCAAACAAATCCTTGTAAATTTCAAAATGTTCAAACATTACTGTCGTTAAATATTTTCTGAAGCATTTTGGGACTCAAATCTCCATTTTATTCATAATAGGCACTTTGAGCGCTTAAATGCAGAAGGGCAAGATTTAATGACAGTTTAAACATTTCAAATTATTTTTGAAATGACCAGTGTAACATATTCATGTATAACATTTATATAAATTATTTCATTATTGTTATTTTTCAGGTGTTGCATTATGTTGAAAAGCCAGAAACTTTTGTTAGTGAAGTCATAAACTGTGGTATTTACATCTTCTCACCAGCTAGCTTGTTCAAACTCATGGGAGAAGTACTTCATAAGAATTACCAGAAAATGAGGTACTAGTTTATGATTCTATTCTAGTTATAGCTACGGCTACATGTTGTAAGTGCCTACGAGCCAAGATTTTACCTATACGCACATGCTCTTCAATTTGTTTAGAAATGTCATGAATTACCATAATTTACAAGAATTCAGGCTGCAGGTTAGTCATGTGTCCATCAACTTTCCTTAGACAGGGTGTCTAGGTTTTGATGCCTGCATAGGGAATATCTGGTGAATTTCAAAATGAAATTCAGGTCAAAATGGTTTCAAACTACAGCTGTCCTAGTTTAATTCAGCACAGAATCCTTATTCTAAAATAAGTTTTTTTGTTGCAGTGTTGAACCATTTGCTGGTAATGTCGAGTCAATCAGGATGGGCGAGGATGTTCTTGCCAGTTTAGCAAATTCAGGGACCCTGAATGCATTTAAAACAAGTAACTTTTGGACTAGCATCAAAAGTGCAGGGTAATGATCTTTTCTTGATTTCTTCACACTGAAACTTTTAGTTTCACTAAAAGAAACTTGAATTACTAGAGATATATGCCTGTGTTAATCTTTAACATGGAGGTGAAGGCCCCAAGTGGGGGAGGTAACCTGCTCAGGTGGGGTGAAAAAAATAACCTATGGTATAACATGCAATCAGTGAATCTTAAAACCCCACCATCCTGGGGTGCACTTTCTCAAGATTAGGAAGCTTAAGCAATGGCGATGGCAACAGCAACGACAACATCAAAAAAGCAATAGGTTTGATTAACAAAACAACAGCTCTGCAAGTGCATCACCCTCTTTTGTACATTAATTTGCCGTTTGTTGCACGACTACGGTGTGAAAAATCTTGAACACAAGATGACCCTCTTTTTCTTTTCCTGAACTTTGATACTGTCCTTTAGAATTCAACTCCCGAAAGATTGAACAGCATTTGATGAAATCAACAAGATGTGATAAGTGCAATAAACTTTGCAGCAGCATGAACACACTTTTAATTTTGAGTAACATTTTTGTAGCTGCAGCTGTCGTCGTTGCTGAAGTTCCCATTTGTTAACCCTAAATATGAATAACTGTCTTACCCCAAAAAATCTGAAAATGTGTGACCCCATTCTAGTAACTCTTGAAAATGCGACCCCATTATAGTCAATACAGTTGTGAAAATACGACCCCATCCAGCGGCACATCCCCATTAGCCCCTTATAAGGAAGTACCCCCCCCNATGCGACCCCATTATAGTCAATACAGTTGTGAAAATACGACCCCATCCAGCGGCACATCCCCATTAGCCCCTTATAAGGAAGTACCCCCCCCCCCCCCCCCGGGGAATATAGAAAAATGCCAAATGATGTTTAAGCACCGGCTACCTTTGTGTCATCAGAGAGGCATCCTCCTGAGTTTAACTGTAAGTTTTAGTTACTCTCAGTCTTAATGTGCTGTTGAGGTATATAGAAGATAAAATAACATGCTTTTTTTTTGTTTTTAACAGGTCTGCAATTTACGCAAATAGAAATGTTCTTTCTTTGTATCACAAGACCCACCCAGATCTCCTGGCACAAAATGGAAAGGACAAACCTCATATAATAGGTATAACTTGAGCTTTTCCCTCATTTGTAAAAGCAGAATTCGTAAAAAACTAATGATGTAAGCTCAGTGATAGATGATGGGTGTATAAAAATGCCGTTCTCTCTGTTCATCATAATCATCTGTCTGTCTGTCTGTCTATCTATCTATCTCTATCTATCAAAGTATCTATCTATCTATCCGTCCATCTGCCCGCCCTCCCCTCCATCTATCCATCCACTTCTGCCTTAAGATTATAGTTTGCTAAAAACTTGTCCAGTTAGATATTAATTTTTATGTGTAGAACATAAAAGATCATAAATGTTACTTGATATAATTTATTGTTTTTTTTATTTTAAGGTGATGTGTACATTCATCCAAGTGCAGTTGTTCACCCAACAGCAGTGGTATGATTTCTTGTTGTACTAATAGCGAACATTACTCATGTACTGGAAGCCTGCGATTTCCAGGGGTTTTCATCACTGAACATGAACTAGACCCTAGATCAAAAATTAGTAGCCTGCGTGCAATGCCCCCTCCCCTAAAAAAAACTGTCGGGGAGGGAGACATCTGTGGAACACAACTAGTGTCTGCGCAACACAGATGTCTAGCTCTTTCCCTGAATTTTTTTGAGGGGAGGGGGCATCTGTACACAATTTATAGGTCAAGTAGTGCTCCCATCCAGTAGCAATTTGTGTACCTTAGCCATGAGCCCAATGCAAAAGCATGCAAAAGCACCTTTCACACTGATAAGAAGTGGAAATGGAGAGGGGAATGAAATAAACTGAATGCGAAAAATAAAATGGCTGCAAATCAAAAGCAATGGGGATGCTGATGGCGACAGCAATGATAAGGTCGAAAAAGCAATAGGTTTAGATTAGCAAAACAACAGTTTTGCTCATGTATCCAGCTTTTTGTTCATTTCTTTGCCATCACTGCACAACTACTACTTGAACTTCAATACAGTCCTTTAGAATTCAACCCAAAAAAGGTTTGCCAACATTTGACATTCTGAAAGAGATGAAATAAGCACAATAAAGTTTAAAGCAGTGCAAATTCAATTTTAAATGGACATTTTCCCAGCCATTGCCGTCGTTGGTGCTTAATCTCCCTAGTAACTTACTGCATTTAACTGCATGGAAATAGTTTAATCTTTCTGCTTCTAAATTTCTGAGTGCCTTAATGAGTGCCTTAGTGACTATTTTATTTTTGGTTAAAATAATGAGGAGACTGATGTAAGGTGCAAACCTGTTAACTTTACTGGTGCTGTTACTATTCTTTTCCAGCTTGGTCCCAATGTATCTGTTGGTAGCAATGTAGTAATAGGTGCTGGAGCCAGAGTCAGGGAGACAATCTTACTTGATGGAGCTGAACTCAAGGTATATTTTGTATTCATGGCTACAGCTAGGATATACAGAGGCGGCGGCCTTGTAAGGGTAAAATTCTGACAAGCGAGATCTCCTTGAAACAGTGAGACAAGAAACTCTGAGATAGAATGGTGAGAAATGACTTGAAGATGGGTTGAAAATGGGTGACAGCTAAGAGAACAGTCACAAATACAATAGTAAAATGCCGACAGTGACTTGGCATCCTCCTCAATTATACGCGAAACAGCTAGTTTTGAAATTCAGACTAGGGACATATGCACATATGTAACCCCCTAAGAGGGCTTCATATATATGTAACCACACTCCTACCCTTCCCCTGCAGAAATTTTTAAGAGGGTCAGTTGAGGGGCACTCTTACTCTGAGGTTTTTAGAGGACAGTATAAAGCTAAAATTTCCAGGGGAGATGGAGGGGTGGGGTTAAGCTTGCCCTACCAACCCCTCCCCCCAAAAAATCTACAGGGAAGGTAGGATATAGTGCTTTTACTTGATTACAACCTTAACATGGGGTTTGGAAGTAACCTTGTTTGTAGAGCCATGGTTTGTACAATCTCAAATTTTAGTAGTTGTCTTGAAAAGTCCTTGAATTGACTTAAGGTCCTTGAAAAGTTCTTTATTAGATCTTGAAAAGTCTTTGAAATTCACTACCTTGTCTATGCCATACCATTTTCTGTAAAATTAGATTATTGTGTGGGGGAAAATTTGGCTCATCCTCATTGTAAGAACCTGCAAAACTCACAGGTAACGTACATAATTATGTAATTTAAACATTTTTGTGCATGAGCAATATTTTATTTCTGTTTCTTTATTTTAAATGCTATTTCTGTACCTCAGATGCAATTGCAAGTCATACCCAGTCATTTTGCAAAGTGTTGTTGAAGAAAGTAGTATAAAATAATGTGATCAACGATGGCCGAAGAAGTAAAAATCGTAAATGACTCCATTACGTGTTTTAGCCAATAGGGTGATCAAAAGGGGGTTAAAGAATGCTGATTTATTAAACAAATATTAGCCCTTGAAAACTGTTATTTGGCCTTGAAAAATCCTTGAAAAATCAGTGAAATTTGTTTGTCTGAAGTTGTACAAACCATGAGAGCTAAATCTTGTGATAACAGGGACTTCATTTAAGATTAATGCTCTCCTCAAACTTTGTGTTTAAAAGCTTGAGGTGGGAAGGCAGATTCAAGATATTTCATAGCATTCACATTATTTGACTTTTTTCTGTGTTTTCAGGATCATTGCTGCATTTTGTATAGCATCATAGGTTGGAATTGTTCCATAGGGGTGTGGTCACGAGTAGAGGGCAGTCGATGCGACCCAAATCCAAATGAAGAGTTTGCTAAGCCAGATGGAGAATCCCTATTTGGTAACAATGGCAAGTTAACTCCATCAATCACTATACTAGGTAAGAAACTTGCTCAAACTTTAGTTCTTTCTGTTTTCCCTCTGATTTTCCATTTTTTCCTATTTGCTACGTTTTTGTTCACTAAGTACAATAAATTGATGTTTCAAGTATTATGTGATCTTTTTGTTTTTTCATTTCCAGGTCGAAATGTAACGATACCAGGAGAGGTCATAGTTCTTAACTCGATCGTCCTGCCACACAAAGATCTTAGTCAAAGTTACAAAAATGAAATCATCTTGTAATAGGTAGCAGAAAAATAACGTAATGTACTCTATGTTAGGGTATAAGGCATTACTATTGCGAGCTGATTCTATTTTATAATAGTTAATGAAAGTGGCTTGTATTTATGTTGGAATCAGGGTCCTGCATCAGGGCTTTCATTTAGAGCTGGGGGCTAGGGGCTGGGGGCTGGGAGCTAGGGATTTCCCCGGTCTACTATAATCATGACCCCTGGTTACATTGATAGGGAACAAATGGAATATAAAACCAAAAGAACTTCATAGTTCTTTAATTCCCCAGCTACTAATTGCCTATACCTGGTAACTAGAAATCGTAGTGACAGCCCTGTGCCTTTTTTAACTTCTAACCAGACTTCTTCAACTGTATATTTTTGCTCCACTAAGGAAGAGCATTTTTAAAAATAATTTAATGCTAACTGATTTTATGGGTGAAGAATTCATTATAATATGTATTTTCATAATATACTGAAAAATACAACCACAGGAAACTACTGCTGAACAGGTTATTTTTTAATGAACTCATCGTGACTTTTTTGCTGATTAAAACATCAAGGCCCAGTTCAAAGGCTTATTAGAACTAACCCAAGGTTACACTTTTAATCGAAAATAATGGGTTTACATTCTTATAGGCTGACCCTGTCTATAAGAAGAGATTCTGAAAGATTCTGTCATTTAGCCAGAGAGGCGCATGTACTTTAAAGTTCTTGCTAAGGTTGCATGAGAACAAGCTATTTTAATATTACATATGGCTAATGATGCGATAGATGAATGACCAACACAATCAATGCATGAGGCCTACAAACAACAGAGGTTTCTGACAGCTGCATGGTTTCAGTGGTAGCATGTAGCCCTTTTAATAACTTCTGTTTGGGGATTGACTCAACTAAAAACATAGGCAGCATACAAGAAAATTGTAGAATTCTAGAGAATGCCTTAAGAGTATAAACTGTCTTCTTCCTTTCTTTTGATAATATTAAATTGAATCACAGACTGTGCAACCATCCTAATTTTGCTTGAATATCCTGAATCCTGACCATATTATGCAATTGGGATAGGGAAAATCATGATTTTGAAATGAATTTGTATGATACTATACAAGAACACATACCGGTATCAGGGTATACGTAACAAAAACGGATACACCAAAAAACTTTTGAAACGCACAAAAATAAATAAAATCGAATACTCATACAAGAAGCCCCACACATAAAAATTTTGCATAAAAATCACAATTGATTTAGTGAGCTTTTGAGACAAAAATTTTGCTCTCAGAAAACTAGAAATGGCATCTTGAAGGACCAAGATTTCAAACTTTTCTGGGGGAGAATACCCCCAGACCCCCTTACGGCTCACCCCTTCGGGGCTTGCATGAAAAAAATTAATATCCTGATTTTACCAACTCATAAAGTTGGACAGTCTGAAATTAATATTTATTTGCTAAATCACAAGACTCAACTTGAAAAAGTTAGTTTTGTTAATTATTTTTATTAATTTTTTGTTAGTCCAGTGTATGATTCACCAGACAAAAGAAGCCAATTTTCCTGGTCAAAGTGGCACTGATTAAAAGGGCTGACCATTGTATGTTGATAAAGTGTATTCAACTTTAACAATTATTGTTAAATGAGATTGTTTAAACAGTGTTTTAAACAATAACAGAGTTTTAAAAAATAAAACTTTCAACATAATAAATGCCTACACCACTGTGGGTGTTGCAACTATGCCTATGTTTATGTTTTTAGCCATTTTAGGGCAGTTTAATTAGCACTGTGGCACTGAACATAACCAGTGTAGCAGTTTTGACAGCACCAAGGAAGGTTTCATTTTTATTCTGAAAATGTAGCTACATGTATGATCATCATCTTTGTTGTAGGGTTTTAATCAAGATGGAAGATGGAAATGTCGTTTCGTTTGGCTCCAAAAATAATAAATCATGCTACCAAAACTCCCTATTTTCAAAGCTTATACAAATAGCATTGTGTAATTCAAACCTTGATGATTATCACACGGCATGTCTGAAAACCAGCTTGCTGAACCATTTACCGTTTTTAAATAAAGTTGATTTATTGATAAATCTTAAAATCTACTGACTAGTTTCACTCATTAGGCTCTGTTAGGTAAAATTCCGACAAGCAACATGGCCTTGAAATAGTGACATAAAACTAGATGAAATAGTGACAAATGATATAAAAATGGGTTAATACTGACATGCCAGGACATGGTCTACTCCTTAAAACACGAAATGACCGTATATGAAATTAAGCCCAGGGACAGACATCCCCCCGCCTCCCAAGAGGGCCTCATTCGTTGTCCAGGGGCCTGTTTCTCGAAAGTCCCGATAATTAACGGGCCCGGTAAGCTGTCTCCATTTACATTAAAGATCGAGGTTTCAATAGTTTTGCATCTAACACGATAAAACTGTCAGTTAATGAAACAAAATGGAGTAGTTTGCTAGCCAGGACCCACGCTCTTATTCTTTATATTTCGATTTGAATATTTGATTTCGGGTCTGTAAAGTTACCGGGACTTTCGAGAAATGGGCCCCAGTTCACTGTGTAAGATTACTGTACAGGTTATTGAACCTATTAGGCTGCATGCATGCATCAAAATGCTACCGTATACAGTGGCCTTTGGGAAGCAACTTGAATAGTATTATTTTGATGTCTATTATCCCAGATGCAAGTTATTCACTGAAGTACTTCAGCAGTGATCACCTCAGTACTCATAATGTTCACTTACAGCCACTGAATGTTAAATTTAAACTTCACTGTTTGTAGTAGAATGGCTCTCGGTATCTCCATACTTAAATGTTCTGGACACTATACAACAGTTTCTGAAAACATCACTTGAAGCACTCTACACTTCCATGCCCCTCTAAACCATCGTAGAAGAAGAAGTTATTTAATGGAGCATCTTTTCCAGAGACTGCCTACAAAAATTGACACAATTTCAGAAAACAAACAAACAAACAAAAATCATACTATATGTTTTTAACATTACTAACACTAAGGGTGTTTGCTACAAACGAAACTAGAAAATGGCTCCACTTACAGTAAGATTGATAAAGGCATCCGACAAGGTCTTGTAAGGTGTGTGGTTAGAGCAGTTTGATTTTACTCTCTGTCTTATGATTTGGCATTTTCAACAACATTCGTTTTAATTTCAATGAAAGCTCAAATTAAATAATTCACAAAAATTGGAAATTCCTTTTAGTAAAATCCAAAGAAGTAGCACAATGGAAAAGTTTTGCCAAAGAGTTTTATTTGAATGGTAACACCATAGAATTTGGCGACAAATCATCTCAACATATCTTGGTCTCAAGGTGAAAGGGTCAAAATTAGCTGTCTTATTGATATTCCTTTTAATTTTAATTCCTTCTTTCATTATTAGCTCAATTGAGAAAACAGCTGACATTTCGTGATGCCACTACTGGTTTCCCTGTGAAATGATGTCTGAGAAACAAGTGAAGAAATTCCATACTGATGATCTGTCACTACCCAGATCTTGGTAGTGCTTCTGATTGGTTGTGCCGCATGGGAAATTTGCCTTAACTAATCAGAAGTGCTACCCAGACATGGGTAGTGACATGTCATCAGTATGGAATTTCTATGGTCATTTCTCAGATGTCACTTAGGGGGGAACCAGTCGTGGCCTGGCAAAATGTCGGCTGTCGCCTTAAACCAAAACATTAAAGCAGAACCTCATTAAAAATTATTATCTTTATACCTTCACAACTTCTTGTCCCACAACGCCGCCAACAATAGCACACACTGGACTCACTTGTGCTGTACAATGGCTATTAAATTCAAATAAATTACCAAGTTGTAAATTCGCCACTTAACAATCCCCTCATTTTTTTATGAAAACAATACTGGAGAGACATTTTTAAAAATGAAGCCTGTCAAGAGAAATGTTTGAAGGTACATTTTTATGGGCAAAGTTTTTTTTTTAATGAAAATGAGTATGTTAATCGCTTTATCACATTTATTACTTGGCTGTCACTATGCTAAGGAAACCTAGCATACAGTTGTTATTCTGCTTGACAATACCACCCTAATCTCTCGCAGAAAACTTGACATATCGAGCCAAAAAACCTGGAAAAATACAAACTTACTTAATGGAGAATAGCAGTCATAAAGGTTCAATAATCTACTTTTGTAAGCAAACTCAATATAGAATGGGAGAACTGTGTAAACAACAATTTTGGTGACTACAGTTTTTCTATGATATGCCACAATGATAAAGGGAATGACTATTATTATAACAATAGAAGGTAACCCTGAGCTACAAACAAATGCTTTTATGTTTAGAATTTAGAAAAAGAGACAAAAAGTTACAGTTTCCCCTGGAGACATGTTCATGATTCTTTCACACTTAGTAATCTTAAGCTCATCCATATATCTGTATCTCAGGAGTCAATTGATTTATCATTGCTCAAATTTATGTTTATAAGTTTTGTTTGCTTACCTAGCAAATTCATCTGGAAGAAGTGTTTGGTCGAGGTTCAGCTCCTTCATGACTTCATCTCTGAGCACTAATAAATGTTCCTTTTCCTTAGGATTTTTGTTAGTCTGTGGAAGCTGGCCATACTGGCGTTGAAAGCGTAATATAACTGCAAAGCACCATGTATATAGATAAGAAAAGGAATTGAGTGAAAAGAGACCACAACACTCTTAGAGCCAGAAGTCAGGCTATTATTTTACCAGGTGCTGAAACCGTTACTAGGTCAGAAAGAAGTTAGTGATAGAAAAGTCCAGAGTTGTGGATGAACTGTGTGACCTGCATATGGATTTCTTATCTGAAGTCCGAGTGAATTCGCATCTAAGTTCTGAGCGAGTAATGTTTCCAGCACCCAGCAAATAGCCTGACCTTGCGTTGTATGTACACATGTATGTTGTCATTGGTGGTATTATTCCCTTAGACCCCCTTTTTGGTGAGTCGTTTCAGTGGTTGCGCTTGGACAGAAGGCTGACTCCTGCCAAAAAAAAGTTGTTTAAAAAATGTGCATTTTTGTGGACAGCGCACAGGTGTTGCTCCAGCCTGGGTTTCACTCCATGCCCTCCTGCCTGGGAGACCAATCCTTATTCAATATTGTGCTATAAGCACCTTCACTGTCCAAGGGGGTTTGCATGAAATTCTAACTGTAACCATTCAGATGAAAGCTACTGACTGGTACATCCCTGATTGTGAGGTACCATTTATAATTGGGCTGTACAAGGTGCTTCTACATGTAACTTTTGAATCAGCAGTTCCTAATGAAGTGCAAAAAGTGGACTATAAAAATGTTCAATTTAAACTGTACTAACCTTTTACTATAAAATATACAGAGGGTAATCTTTTTAAAATCTTTGCAGGTTTGTTATCCAGTTTTGCTGTCAGAGCAGCTTTTAATCTGAAGAACTCTGCAAACTAATGAAAACAGCAATCAGAATAACTAAATAGTAATAATACTATAACCTGCGAACAGGCTCCCAAGTTGAACAGGGTGAAAAAGACAATAGGCAAGTAAAGCAAGTCGAACATGGCCTGGGAGAAAAAAAAGATTTGGGAGCCTGTAGAATTAATCGTTTTGATGCCATCAATCCGCCCACTTGCAATTATCCTGTAACACATTTTTATGTGAAATGTCATTATAAGGTAATTAGACCAGCTGTCAAATTATGATGTTTTTTATGCTTGAATGCATCGGCTTTAATAACATTCACACGCACGCAGGTATTATTCATCACTCACTAATGTCTTGTCAACAGTCAGCGATCTGACCAATCATGCACGAATCTGGAATCACGGATGGGTGGCATTGAAACAAAGTCTACAGGCTCCCCTGCCTTTTTTCTCTCCCATGTCATGCTCAGCTTGTGATTTTCTTTTTTACAATTGGGAGACTCTTCACAGGCTAGTTTTTCAACAGTGACTGTTCCATCAGTCAGGTATGGGCAATTCTGGGGCATACGGGTTAAGTGAGAGTTGACTTCAGAAATTGTCGTAATTTGCTGCTGTGTGTATTATTACCTCTTGTACCACAGTGGTTTCATTCACATCAATTTTCTGCCTCTTGGCCTCTGGTTCCCCATCTGATCTGGTATTTTTCTTTTCGGCTGCCTTAATGACCTTGGGCTTTTCCCTGATAACAACAACATTTCAATAATAAATTTTATTATTTTGCCACTGAAAAGGTACAGTAGACAGATTGGAGGTATTGTGTGCAACAAAAGGAATGCACCATACTAAATTTTAATACATACTCAACGTATTTGTGTTTTCCAAGATCAGCAAACATGAATCCATAGAAGCCAAAAACATCAGCAGCAAAGAACTTGACGCCATTTGCATGACACACTTCATTAATGTGAATCTAGGAAAAAAATATACACAATATAAGCACCATCTTCATTAGGCACATTGCAGCTAACTTAGACCCTGCCTACAGCCTGTGGTCTCTTGGGCAGAAAGGCTCTTCTGATTGTCTTCCTCATAATATCAATGAAGGTATTGCTTCGTGTCTAGAGGAAAAGCCCCAAAAAGATAAAGGTCGTTATTTTCTGTCAGTAATATTTTTGCTGACCACTTTTGAAGTGATGTTTTTTGCAGCAACCACCGTTGTGGTTCTGTGAGCTCCCTATATTCAAGAAGGCAGACAACAAGACTGGCTGGACAGAAACACTAGGATATTTTTTAAAGATAATTATTATTACATGAATCACAAAGTAGGTCAGTATTTACTTAACATGATGAATTACATTACCAAATGATCTGCAGAGCAGTTTGTTGCCACAACCAAGTCAAACTGCTGAAAGAAACTGTCATCTTTGTTAGAGATACCCTCAACATCAGCAGTTACTTCAACCATTGGATTCAGCTGCTGGGCACGCTGGAGTGAAGACTCGGCACGCTACCAACAGACAGCAAACAAAATAACATACTGGTACATGTAATGTTGTCACCCCCCTTTGCCCAGCTGAAAGAGGTATGGGAATGAATATTGGTCAGGTGGTCCATGACAAGATGGAACAGGTTGGCTTGGGTGAGCTGGAGTACAATCCTAAAATAATCCTTCAACCCCCAAGATCTGATTAGTTTTGGATAAAGTTTGAGGTGTAGATGTTACATGTCAAAATTAAATTCAGAAGAAATTTTTTTTTACCTTGGTTGATTCTCAAGAATCAACTAAGGTTAAAAAATTTTCACTCAAATTTAATTTTGACCTGTAAGAAAGATGTTGTGGTTCAATTTTATCCTTGGTTCAAATTTTATTTCCCTTTGCTTTGGGGTGTGGTAATGTATGATAATGAGTCTAAAGCACAGGAAAATAAAATTTAAACCAAAAATAAAATTGAACCACAACATAAACATTAGACACAAACCGATCCAAATGTTTACAAAACTACAATATCTTTAAAAGGAAAAGAACGTAAAACCTGGACTCAAAACACTCACATTTTTTCCCAAGTCCTGCCGCTGTACTAGAAACTGTGACACAAAATCTTCTTCATTCACAGGGTCGGGATCAACAATTGTAACAGACTTCACACCGGAAAGCACAAGATTTTTACAGATTTCAGCACCTAGTCCTTTAATACCAACCAGCAAAACACGGGATGCTCGTAACCTAAAAGAAAATGTTTAATTAAGGCTATGGCATGCTGATACACTTATTAATTATAACCTCATTACAAATAGTAATAAAACGTCCATTAGCCATTCATGTCAGACAGACTATACATCTTAATTTGAAAATGGAACAGTCTTAATTTTGGATGGACAATCCGCCTGACTTTATTCATCTGTTTTTCTGAAAAATTTTGAGGTATTTTGAAGATGGATTATCCGTCAAAGACAGATGGATAATCTGTCTCTAGTCTGAAAACGGCCAATGTGACTGAATTGATTTGTGGCTAGACTCCACACAGATTTAATAATGCTTACACTCTCCAACCCCACATCTATTAGTACTAACTGTTTTTGCCTGGAAAATAGTATGAATGAAGTTCATGCATGGTTACAGTAAACATGTCACCCTGCTCTGAGAACAAAATTCCAAAACAAAGAGGGAGGTTTATTGTCTTGTATAGGGGTGTAAATTATACCATAGTTATATTATTCTGGTACCACTTAGGCTGCGCAGGACAAAATACCAACATTTTTATGTAAGCAGTTATTGCTTAGGCTATGTATACAGAAAGGATAGGAAGAAAAAATGGAGGAAAGCACTCAAAAATGTCTTTTACGCAGCTGATTATACAATACCACACCCAGGTTGGTCTCCTTTAGATGTTCAATTCTAAATTTATGATTAGTACTTGGAGTAGTATAATATTCTGGGAAACTTCCCACCTACCCCTTCCCTTAGGACAAAATGTTGCGTTGGGGGAGGGGTATGCGGCAATTTCTCAGAATCTCACACTGATCAAAGCATTTCTGCCCCTTTCTCTATGGAGTCCCTCCATGGGACCTTACAATGCGTAGCAAATTGGTGCATTCTACAGCTGCATTAGTTTGTGCTGCATGTTAGAGATATGGCCAGTTGTTCAGTCACATGGAAACGTATCCGCTTCACTTGCGTATTGACATCACATATATAAAGACCGGGGCTTAACCCTTTGGGTATAGAATCTCATGTATACTTCCGGTCATTACGCTCATAAAAGGGTCTAGTCTTCAAAACACGAAATACACAAAACACAAAACAACACAAATAGGTAAACGATCAAATCAATATGTTTATCTTTATATTAAGCATGGAATTATCATAATTTTGCACGAAATTTTCAACAGCATACAGTACAAAAGCTTTCGAATATAAGCTTAAATGAATCTTAACGACACGAAAACACGTTCGATATTTCTAACCTTTTTTGAGCATCAAGTCCCCAGAGTCGGATCTGTCGGTCATACAACGCCGCTTCATCTTCAGTTATCACTGCCCCATTTTGTTCATCGGTTACCCTCGGATTTTCAACCATTTTTTGATGAATAAACAAATAAATAAATCTTGAAATCTCCGTTATTCAAATATGGCGGGAAGATGCCGGGAAAATAAACCTGCGCATTGGAGCATTTCACGTGCGTTTGGCGCACATGCAGATTGTGAATATCCGCTGAGTGTGTGCCCGCATTCTTTCAAAATGGCGCCTTCCAGTGGTTCGCGAAGTTGAAATATCAACATATTTCTGTTATATTCGAGACAGTGGAAGAACATTTTCTATCCCTGCAGCTATGAGGGTCGTTGCTTTGATCAGGTAATCCTACATGCAATAGTTTGTGGATGTAAATGTAAATTGTAGTTAAAAAGGCGCCCGACTCATGAGCTCAGTTGCTCACCCCCACATGCGAACGCTCGCTTTCAACGAAATTGCCTCTTACACCTAATGCGTACGCCAGCCAATCCCAGTTGTGCATAGTTCTCGTTTTGTAAGCAAATGGTTTGATTTGGTTGACGCATACAGGAACAGTGAAGCATTATCAGAGGGACGGGTTGAGGTGGGGAGGGGGGGGGGTAGGGGGTTGGGGGGTGATTTGTGTTTCCCGCGGCGCGCGCGCGTCTTTGACCATATTGTCTCTTACCCTCAGACAGTGCCCCCGCCCCGCCCTTTTGTGGAGTTTTTTCGTGTTTTAAGGAGATGGTTTGTTTTGGGTGGGCCATAGAGGAAGAGGGGAAACTTGTCGGGGGGGGGGGTTGGGGGGGGGGGGGGGGGGGAATCGGGTTTGGTGCTGACTTATGACTTGAAGTAGTGAAGCTGAGGAGAATCTCTTCCTAGTAAGTGTTTATTGGATCATTATACATGTCTGGGTAGCTGACCACCTACCCCTCCCCTAAGCCCTCATTTTGCCCTAAGTGAGAAGTAAGTGTTAATGTTGGTTTAGGGGAGGGGTAGGTGGTCAGTTACCCAGATACATAAAATGATCCTGGGTATTTCTCCAGAAAAAGCCTCCAGCCTCTCCCAGCTCCACTGTCCCTAGTGACGACAAATTATCAAGAAGTGACAGTATGAACAGGTTATTTTCTCCATGAACGAGCTATGGGGGAACAGAGGCTCCAGGGGATCCAAACCTCTTAATATGTACCTGATGTACCTTCCATCCCTGCCCTGCCCTGCCCCTTTTTTCTTTATTTATTCCCTTTCCTTCCCCTTTTTTGATGGCAAAATATTAAGTATTTTTGTGTACTTTCCCCCTTTTTCTCCTACTTCCAACCCACTTTTGCCTGCCACCTCCTGTTCTTTCCTCTGTCTCCCACCTCCCAGACCCCTCTTGTCCCCTATTTTCCCCAAACCCTAACCCCTAACCCAGGCTCCCACCCCCCTGTTTTTCCCCACAAGCTACAACCAGTTGCATCAAGGCTCAAGACACTGTAACTCTGTAGACTGAAAATGGTGTTTTTCAGACTCTGCAATATTTATGTTCCTTCCCCCAATATCAGAGTTGTAAGGGTTGCAAGAAGATATCCAGAGGGAGTAAGTAGTGCTGAAGTTAGAAAAGGTGTTTTTTATGATGATAATGATAATATTTTTGTTATTCATAGGAAACAGGAGATTCTGGTCTTACTTACACTGGATTTTACCCACTATATACTGCTGTATACTATTCTGAAATTACTCTGTTTTGACTGCCCTTTTTTGTTCTGTTGTTTTAGCGGTGGAAAGGACAGTTGTTACAACATGATGCAGTGTGTGAAACATGGTCATGTAATTGTTGCACTGGCAAATCTCAAGCCTAGTAATGGAGGTAGAGATATTTTCATCAATGTGATTGGCTGTACCATTGCATTTTTTGAAAAATGGATAGATTTAGCGAAGACAACACAACTTCAATTATGGAAAGGCATGCAGAAAAGACTGAATGCGAATTTCAGTGCTTGATTTGCCATTGTGCCATTCTTGGTCAAGCTGGTTCAGATCTGCTTATTCCATTGTCACAGTCGTCACAAAGTCTTTGATAAATCTGCATTATATGAAAAGTAGAGCCCAGTTATCAGTCGGTTTGCTGGCCACTGGGGTTACTGTAGATGGACTTTTCTTTTTGAATGGTTAAGTGGCCTGTGGTCGTTAAGAAAATAAATAATTAGCTGGTGCTTTTTTTATTAGTTTTTAGTTTGCAATATTGGTATTAATGCCATGAGATCCTCACTCAACTCTTTCAGGTGTATGTTGTTGCTCAATTTTTTATGGTTAAAATGCTATTTTCCTGTGTTTTGAACACATTAGCAAACTAAGTGTCCCATATGGAAAAACAAAGGCAAAAAATTGAACCAAGGCTAAATGTGAATCACAACACAATCATCCAGGATAAGCTTTAGTCAGCCTCCTTGAATTGTCTCAATGCTTTATCTCCTAATAGTGGCCAAAAAACATTCAAATTTATTTTTGTAAAATCCTAACCAGTAAATAGTACTGTGCAAAAGTTCTGACAAAGAGGTTTCATTTGAATGGTAACATCATAGGATGTCTTCAACAGATTTAAAAGTTGGAATTTCAATTAATGATCTCACCATAACTCAGCCTTGGGCAGAAATGGTTAAATCAGGCCATCTGATATTACACGATGGTGCGATTTCGCACAATTGACCTGAAATTGCATCCGATCACACAATTTGAGGAAAATTGCATAATTCGTAAAAAAATGCTAAATTCAAGTACAAATTCCAACTTTAATTAAACATTTTCCCAATCTTGATGTTATTTGAGGTGATTTACCACTAAAGAAAGCCTTGCAAGACATCTCAAACCAACCTTCGATCGTGGTATCTGTGCAGCCATTTTGATTTCAGAGACAAGCATCATGGTCAGCGGTGTAACGGCGTCATGTATTATGAAACAAGTGTCCTTTTTCTTTTCTTGGTCAATATAATCAGACAATTTTAAAATAGATGTTTTATTATTCCTTACATTCAAATTGCCTGTTAAAAAACATTAAAGTGGTTTTTTGCCTTTGAAACCTGGTAAAACAATGTAAATTAGCCCTGGAAAAATCGCATGATTTATCACATAATAGTCCTATCTTATCGCACAATTTCCCTGAAAATATCGCACAATTTCGGATTTTTTATCACACCCTATCAGACGGCCTGTTAAATACTCCTTTTTTACCTAGTTATCCTTCCTAAGCATCCTTCTTAAATTTTGTGAACACACCTCTTGCAATTTATTCAATGATTTTCATTAATAAAATGTCCTTTTTGATTTTTATGATGACAGCTGATGAGCTTGATAGCTTTATGTACCAGACAGTGGGGCACAATGCTATTGACCTGTATGCACAAGCTATGGATCTACCCTTGTATCGTGGCTTGATCTATGGATCATCAGTTGCTCAAGGCAAAGTGTACACTGAAACAGACCAAGATGAGGTTGAAGACCTCTACAAACTTCTCAAGAAAATAAAAGTATGTCTTGCTGTAAATCAAACTTACAAGTGCAGGATACCTTCTTCAGGTTTCTTTCTAGTATTAAAATTATGTAGCCTTTTCATCCAAAATAATTAATGATACTGTCTGATAGGGATCTGCAGGACTGGCGGGAAACTAATGTAACATATTCAGAGATGGCAAAAATTGTTATTACTAAGGTGGACTTAAAGGTTGGTCTAGTTTAGAAAGAGTTAAATGCAAAAGCAGAAAATGTGTCAGCCCTTTCAGCCCTTCACTTCATTCAACTTCTAAATGGTGGACACATTAGAAATCAGATTTTGTTTTATTTTATAGGAGGATATTGCTTTTGATGCAGTGTCAGTTGGAGCGATTTTGTCTGATTACCAAAGAGTCAGAGTAGAGAATGTGTAAGCTGTGAATCACATACATGTATTATTATTATTATATGTACTGGTAGATAACACAGAAGCTTTCAGCTCTCCTAAGTCTATGCAGGAACCAAGCTCCTTCCCTAAAGATCTTCTCTTTTATCTGCCTTGATAAAATTATTGTTTCTACATTTTTTGTCTGAAGAGGCAAACCTCTTAAGAGGGGAAATCTAAGGAACAGAGCTACAGCTGTAAGTGTCTGCATTACAGAGATGCCTGATTGTAGAGGAAGAGATTGTGTCGTTGATTGTTTGGCACCTTTGCTTCAAAACAACAAGTGCATAATACAGAGGTGTCTTTAAAGAATGATTCAATAGTTCTTGAATAAGGGGGAGTGGGGGGTGGGGGGGGTGGGGGCATAAACTAAGGTCCTCATTACCTCCTCATCTAATGCTACATTCTTCCCCTGATTCACATGCATCTACAAGGCATATTAATTCAAGGCATAAAACCAAACCAAACTCATTATTTTGAGAGGTGAAACTTGATACATATAGTTCCAAGTTGTCATGGTAAACCTGTGGCCCTCTAACAACCAACTGGAGACAATTTTCAGATCAAATTGGCATTTGGACATTTGTTGGTTTTTAAGGAGAGGGGAAAAACGAGTACCCAGAGCAAAACCACTCATAGAAAGAACCAGCAACCAACTACCGGTGTATATATACTTTGTATGACATCAATGATGCGACTTGAACTACAGCCACATTGGCTTCAGGCAAGTGTTCTCACCTCTGTGCAATCCTTGCTTCCCCATACTTGCCTTAAGGTGAACAGGAAGACATCTAGTATAATTATTATCAAAGGGTGTGTGGGGATTTAGATTGCATATCATTGGTGTGGTATAGTCAGAACAACAAGGTATAAGTTCAAACATTTTTTGTGTGATTTCTTTCAGCTGTTCCAGGTTAGGACTGTCTTCATTAGCTTACCTTTGGAGACGTGACCAACAAGAGCTGCTCAGTGAAATGATCTCTTCAGGAATTGAAGCTGTTTTGGTCAAAGTTGCTGCAATGGGTATATAAAGTCACTTTTTGTTAATTTTATTTTGATACAAATAAAAACTTCCCAATTTATTATTAATTTTATTTGGCATTATTCTTTTGTATCGGGTCTTAAGCATAAGTTGGTGGAAAAAGCTTACTTCTTAAAATATGACTAGGACTTTTTTGCTCCAATAAGACAGGTTTTAACAAACATTAAATTTTTTAAGACTGGTGTTAATACATGTAAAACCTGGACTACAGGAAAGTCAAGAAATTACACAAACAAAATACACAGAGCACCAAAGATAAAGATTATTTTATTTTGTTTTTAAAAGTCAAAAAGAGGTTAAGGGGTTTTTTATTGTGGAAACTACGCTTAGCTTATCCAACTAGTTTACAGGCACTCCACTCTAAAAACCACATCTGGTAGGAGGCAACCAGGGCTGAGTTGCTTAAAGCTGGGTTAAGGTAACCCAGGGTTAGTGCGAAATTTGAATTCAGATTAAAAAGCAAATTCAGCCATTTAGTTCTTTGTTTCTATGTAATATGATGATTCGATGATCTTAGAAGAATAGAGAAAATTATCCGAGAAAATGCTTTCCAATATAAGAAAAAGAAACCCGGATTAAAAGTTAACCTCAGGTTCGTGCTAATCGGCCTTCGAACAACTGGGCCCTGTTGGCTATCTACAAGCAAGGCCGAGGATTTGAACTTGGGATGACAGAGAAAAATCCAGCTAGTGGTCAGAGTGGGACTCAAACCCAGGACTGCTTGATTGCGAGTTTAAAGATTAATGCCCTGGCTACTCAGTCATGCTGTCCCCAAACCAATCACTGTTTGTGTTAATACAAGTTATTGATTTCAATTATTAAGATCTTATCTTCTGGAAAATGTTTTTATTGATAAAGAAGTACACCATTATGAAAAAATAATATTGTCGTTGTGATTTCTGTTTTCTTTTGAAGATCTTAATCCACACAAGCATTTAGGCCTGTCCATATCAGAAGTATATCCTCTCATGTGTAAACTGGTAAGATACTGACAACTTACATGAGTGATGGAGTTGTTTTTATTGATTTGTCTTATGAACTGTTGGTTGCAATGTTTCAACTGTGTGCTGTTGGTCTTCAACAGGCAATGCTGTCCATTAACTGTGTGTAAGGCCATGTCAGCGAGCGTAAAATTTTGATGAGCAACATGGCCATTGGACAGCTGAAATTGCAATAAATAACACAAAAATGTGTTGAAACTATGAAAAACTACTACACTGTATACTCTCTTTTTTTTTCTGTTTTCTTGTGAAACACACAAAGAATATATAATTCACCAGAGCAAAATCTGACATAGTTAATGATTTACTGTTTCATTTATTTTAGACTTGGATAGCAGTTATCCAATCCCATACATTTGCACTTGCTGTAGCTCAGTTTTCTGTTGTGTTTTGATACAATTGAACCTCCCGGTGTGACCACCTCCCATAAGCAACAACCTATCCAAAACACACAGTTTTGCCAAACCAAGCCTTGCCATTTAGAACCTCTCATAAATGACCCCAGCTCTCTTAAGCAACCGCGACCACATCTCAGTTGACAGTTTTTCGATTTTCCATTGTTTTGACCTCCTAAATGCAACCATTTGCATTTACTGTATGTACAACCCAGCTCAGAGTTTTTGAGGTACATTCAGTGACAACATGGCCCAGCCCATATTATACCAAAGGAATTGTTTGCAATAAATTCTCTTTCCTGTTTGTAGTCTACATCCTGTGCCTGTGGTATGACTCTTGTACTAAGCACTAAAACAACAATCTACGCATTTTGGGTGGTTGTTAGTACAGGCAGTTCAACTAAAGTTATGATTATTTCATGTCTTTTAGAACTGCAAGTATGGCTCAAATGTCTGTGGTGAAGGAGGAGAATATGAAACCTTTACATTAGACTGTCCATTGTTCAAGAAGAGAATAATCATGTATGTGTAACCAATACCTCAGGTAGTTATTTAAGTGGTAGCAAGATCGTTGTTAATATGTATCTTATTATCATAGTTCTTTGTTTACATAACTTTTGAGTCTGTTGATGAAATCCTAAAGTGTGACCATTCAAATGAAAGCTACTGAGCAGTACTTTCCTGTGGTACTGTTTATTATTCTGTACAAGGTGGTTCTAACTTTTGAGCCTGTGAATGAAATCGTTAAGTGTGACCTTTCAAATGAAAGCTACTGAGCAGTACTTTCCTGAGACACAGTGCAATATACTGTTTAAGCTGGTTCTAACTATGGAGTTTTTGGATAAAATCCTTGTGTGTAATTATTTAAAAACTGCTTTATGCAATGATTTTTTTGCAGAGATGAAAGTGAAGTTGTCATTCATTCCGATGATGCATTTGCTCCTGTTGGTTTTCTTCAATTCAAGAAGATGCATTTGGAGGACAAAGAACAGGTGTCTAACCTATTTCAGATATTTTCCAAAAGTAGCCTTTCCTTAAAAAATCTTTGTAGGTTGAAGATGTTGTTGTGTTATTAGGGAGTGTAAGCAGCAATGATGATGACCAGTGTTCAATGTAGAAATTAGTCAAAGTGGGTCATATGTCCAACATGACATTTTAAATGACAAAATAACCTATATAGCTAGTCAGTGATGAAATACAGAAAAATCGCGACAGAAACCATTGATACTACAGTGTATAATCTATTTTTTTTTTAATTTTGGGAAAAAATGGGCCAAATTCCAACTAAAGGGCAGAAAAGCTCAATATTCAATATTACTTGGGAGATTTGGTGACCGGCACAGTAGATCAGGAAGTTAATACAGTATCTGGAAGAGTTGGTACATTATGCATTTGTTTAGGGGAGGTGGGTGGGGGAAGGCTGGCTTTTTTTTGTTAAGGAAGATGATGTGTCTAAACTAAATAATAATTTTGTCACCAGCAGCGCTAGTAATATTGGTTTAAAGCAACGGAAGTCACTGGGCATTGCTAAAGTACAGTCTTTGAGTTTTGTAAAATAGTTCTATAATTATTTTTTATCTTTTCTAGGTCAGCTCAGCATTTCTTCAAGACAACAGATGTTTGGATGATTTTGGCAAGTTAGAAATAGAGGTAGATTTTGAGTAGAAAAAGTAAAATGTGTCAGTAAGCATGTTCATATTATTATTGTACGTAAAAAGAGCACATATTTATATGTTGTACAATGTAGTTTATTTTTTATTTCAGTTAATTTTTTGATTTTTTTTTAATTTCTGGTTAATTTTTCAAGGGACTTGAATGCCTGCATCCTTAAAACTGACTTTGCAAACTTGCGGTTTCTTGAGGTTTGAGAAAGACAAAGCATGTCAATCAATCTTAATTATATTGCATGGGAAAATAGCCTTAAGTTAACCTGAAATAAAAACTAATCAGTTCTGTGTAAAGCTTTATTTTACTTGAGGTATTTAAAATTTACTTGTCTTGAATTATTTCTTAGCTTATTTAGGCTCTGGTGTAAAACACTACCATTGACATTCAGTTTACAGCTGTTGGAGGGGTGGGGGTCAAAAAGGCAAGACATAGTTGTAAAGATAAACTAACATTTTTTTCTTTAATAAGACAGGTAATTTAAATGGTGCTGAGATTCCTAGAGCTCTCAGAAAAGGACTGAAGGTAAAGATCCCTGTACAATCTCAAAGACACGAGAAAGGTAAGGGAAATTTGTTCCTCTTACTCTAAAATTTAGTCATAGAAACATTGGATCAATTAAGTTTTTTGGGCAACTACTACCTACTCCTCCCCTAAGCCAACATTTTGCCCCAAGTGAGAAGTAAGTGTTAATGTTGGGTTAGGGGAGGGGTAGGTGGGTAGTTTCCCAGAAACCGAAACTGCTCCAAAACATGTACAGAATTATTCCATCTTTGAGTCTGTGGATAAAATTTTATAGTGTAACCACTGAGCACTACTGAGCAATGAATTTTTGGTTCTATTGTGTTAAGAATTGTATTAACAAAGTAATAATTTTATTATTGTGTTACTCTAGAAAATATCCATATTTCCCTGTTGAGGATTTTTTGCTTTCCCCCACCCCATTCCTGGAAATTCCAGTTTTAATTTGTACCTCTGTTGAAAAATTTGGGACTTTAAGAACCACATGTCTGGATTTTTCTCACTGCTAGATCTTATAATTATAAAGAATCTGTTTTTTATATCTATGGAGAAAATCATATGGTGTTATCATTCAAATGAAACCTCTATGCAAACCTTGTGCATGCTACCATTTACTTTTAGTGACTTTTTTGTTTTTTTTTTTTGCTACTACTGGAAGTGAAAGTGAGTAAGTTTTTTCTTTGACTCTCAGTTGTTAAATCTGTTTACTCGACAGGTCAGATGTCTTACAGTAAGTGTGGTGATTATATTTGGGTTACTGGCATTTATGGGCATTGCACTGTCGAAGGGAAAACACTATCTATTGAAGATATTACAAAATCAGTCCTGCAGAGTTTGTCTGGTAAGTAGCTCAGTGAGTAGTGTGTACATGTAGGTGTCTTTCAACAGTTTCCAGCAGTTGTCTGCAGTACTACTTTCATGGATCCCTTTTTCTAACTCTTTTGTAGTTGGTGGTGCTACAGTAATCATGCCAATTTAACAGTAAAAAAAATTAAGGGTGTTTTCAAAAGGTTATACTGTTGCTATGGTAATTACATCACTGATTATGATATAATTTGGTGTACATAATGGGCCCCACTTTTCAACTTTTCTTCTTTCTATATGACAAGTGTTTTGGGGGTTGAAATAATATGCATGATATAATTATCTTTTTCTTGCCCTCTTATATTTTTATTCAGCCTTTTGCCTAAGTGCAACCCCCTTGTTAAGCAGAATGAACCATAATTATTTTTAGTGCAAAATTATAATAATTATTATTAAAGTTAGTGACTTGATTAGTACATTCTAAAATAATTATTATTCAAACTCGGAGGGAACCACAAGAAACTTTGTGTCAATTTCGATTTCCATAGAGACACTAAGTAATTTGAAAGCAAGCTTGAAGGATGGATTAATAATTCATGTGTTTGTGAAGAATATGGATGACTTTGCTCGAGTGAACTCAGTGTACAGAACCTTTATAACAGTTAACCCTCCTGCAAGGCAAGTCACAGCATAGAAAACGTTTATCTGCATTTAAAAGTATTCTTAATGATAGAAATAGAAAACAGCCAAGATTTCCTGATCCCTTTCAGGTTTCCTTGTGAAATGGCATCTGAGGAACAATCACAGAAATTCCACGCATGGCCACTACCCAAAACTGCTTCCAACTGGTTGAAGCAAATTTGTGTTTTCCCATGTGGCACAACCAATCAGAGGCACTACGGAGATCTGGGTAGTGACACACCATCAGTATGGAATTTCCCCTCTGTTTTTCTCGGATATCATTTTGCAGGGAAATCAGTGGGGGTGTCTTGAAATGTCAGCTGTCACTGCTGCAAATATCCGTGTAATACATACATGTAAGGTGTGAGTGGGAGATCTGTATGGGCATTTACATTTGCAAGCCAAAGGTTACACTGAGCCATTGTAAAGGCCCACACAGATGGGATGCAAAATATTATTGATTTGTTATAACTTGAATGTATAATTACTGAATCAATGGCCAAAAGTTTGGCCAGGGCTGAACTTCAGACATTGGGAATACCAAATCCCCCTAATACAATATTATGGTTGCAGGTTTCTGATATAATATTTCAACATATATTTTTCTTACACTTGACTTTTTGTTTCAAGAAAACTATTTAATTATACAGTAAAACCCCTCTGGTACAGACGCTGAGGGGAGCATAGAAAGTGTCCGTATGAGAGGGGTTGTCCGTATAAAGTGGGTTGAATTTAGAGAAAATGTAAGGGCTTTCTTTCCCCAAGGACAAAGCAAACTGTCTGTAATAGTAAGGTGCTCATATTAACCCTTTAAGCCCTAACATACAGGTACAAATTCTCCAAAGTGATCTACATATGCTTCCTTTAAGAATTAGTTGAGAGAATTTAATGAAAGATCAAGGCATTTTCTCTTTAGTGATCATTTCATTAATTCTCCTAACCTTATCTCTTGAAATGTATGGATAATGTTAGGAGAAAATTGATGTTGGTCACTATTGGGACTTAAAGGGTTAAGTAGGTGTCGGTAAAGCAGGGTTTGACCGTACTTCATTTGCTTTACAGGGCATGTATCCAGTTAAACCTACCTGACGACATCGTCATGCAGGTTGATTGTCTTGTTTATAGCCCTAGCAACAGGGAGGCTTCATCACGAGAGGCTATGCATGTTCAGAGCATTTCTCACTGGGCTCCTGCAAATATTGGCCCTTACAGCCAAGCAACTAAGGTAATAAGAAGGTGTGTTGTATGTGTAGAGCTTTAGGTCTTTTAGGGATCTGTAGCTTAATTGGGATTGTGAAAGGTTTGAACCCAGAAGTGATAAGTGGGTGGAGCATGATCATCGGGGCGATCGTAGTCCTGAATAGGACTTTTGTTGACAGTGACTGACGTTTCGACAACCTGTGCGATTGAAGTCTGCACAAGCCTGAATTTTATAGCTGCAATGATCTTCTTTACATTAAACTCTTTTTGCCATTGATTTCTGTAATAATTATTTGACAATTATTCCTCAAGCCCTCATGGACTCTGAGTCAATAGCCCATGAGGCTGAAGGCCGAATGGGCTATTGACTCAGAGGCCATGAGGGCGAGAGGAATAATAATATTTTTTTAGTAAAATCCTACTATAGTTGGTGAAATATATCGAGAATAAAAAAAATTTAGCTAGTTAAAGCTACACTTTAATCCGTTTTTGCCACCAAAAAGCCCGCACTTTTTGCTACTAGTGGGCTATAACATATAGCCTAGTAGTAGCTCAACCAATCAGAATGCAGCATTGATAATAGACCACTAGTTGGATTTTATTAATGATTATTAACTGGGGTTATACAGAGCAATAATGTCATGTTTGATTTGTATTTTAGATTAAAGACACCTTGTTTGTCTCTGGTTCTATTGGCTTGCTGCCCACAACTATGACAATAGTGTCAGGTGGAATATCAAAAGAGGCACCTCTGTCTTTGCAACATGTTGGAAGAGTTATATCTGCCATGTCTCCTGGGGAATCCCTAAGAAGTATCATTCATGGATTTTGTTTTTTGACATCAGCTGCATATGTGTCCATTGCTAAAAATGTTTGGTGTCAAGCATCAAAAGTAAAGGTACTTTTATTTTAGGGCCAAAATCGGCTTTGAAGCCCATATGGCTGCAACTCTGGGTCTGGGTTAACCGTAAACAGGACATAAAAATAATAATATAATAGGCTTTTTGGTAACTTTTTGCATTCAGGCAACTTAACTCAGAATCCTGGAATGGGAGAGGAGGGCACTCAGGTATAATAGTGATGTGGACCCTGCATGTTCAACTGCATTCTAGACTAGAAAATAACATTATTCCTTTCCTATGCCACTGATCAAACCATACCCTATCCTTGAAAATATTACCGTTCACAGCGGCACATACTAATATAGCCCATATATGGCATTGCCCACAGGGATTGTGACATTTCAACCACTTACATGTACTGTTGTTCAATCTGATCTTCATCGTCTAAATCATCATGTCAGTTGGCTGTGTACAACTATATGTTAACAGAACCAAACGAGTACTTGCATTCCAGCTTGTTGGGATCATTGTACGTTTCTGGGAAACTGCTCACCTACCCCTCCCCTAAGCCAACTTTAACACTTACTTCTCACTTAGGGCAAAATGTTTGCTTAGGATAGGGGTTCCAGGGTCAGTTGTATGCTTATCTTAGTTTGCTTTATAATCACCGGATAACTTGCCCGAGCACTTGCCCATTGGGCAAGTGAGCATGAAAAGTTTCTTGCCGTTAAGAAATTCTACTTGTTCTAGACTACTGGACAGGCTTTTTTTTTGGAGCCCTGTGTGGTTATTGGTAATGGGTGCAAATTGATCCTCACTCATGTCTAAATGTATTAACTGAGTTTGTTTGTATAGACCACAGAGAATGGGGAACAAGATTTGGAGTCCCACGAGGGACTAATATCGTACATCATTGTCCCTGCTCTACCAAAAGGAGCCCTGGTGGAATGGCATGTTGTGGCACAAGAGAACCATATCCAACATACATGTATGTTTTTGAAGTGCTAAGTGCAGAAATAATAGTAATAACAATGATGATGATGATGATGATGATGATGATGATGATGTTGATGATGGTGGTGATGATGATGATGATGATGATGATGATGATAATTATAATAATAATCTGTTACCAAAGTATCCAGTTCATAGAAGAAATGTGTGAAGTTTGTCATCTCTGGGACCCAAGAAGCCTGTATATATATGTTAAACAGGTGAAATTTGATTTCAGGTAAAATTTGATTTAACCTAGGTTGATTCTCAATTTCCTTTGTCTCCTAGCCCTAAGAGACAAAGGAAATTGAGAATCAACCTGTTAAAACAATTTAACCTGAAATCAAATTTGACCTGCAACATACACATGACTACCGTGATCAGTAGCAATAATGTTCAAAATTGAATAGATGACATTCTGACAGTTGCTTTTCTTTAACATAGATAATTTCACATGCACATCAAGGGAGATTTTCAGTGCTGGTGTACACAGTTTTGCTGTTGAGGGAAATTGTAACAACAGCCTAGTTGTTAACCTTGAAGTTGGTATGTTTGATGTACACATTCCATTTCTATTGTGTCAGAGAGGAATGTTGCTTTGTCGTAACTTGCACAATTCTTTTGCAGGACAGAGAGTTTGTATTTTTTAGGTTTGCAGGTTTGAATAAAGTCCTGTGACTTGACTCAGCCCTTACGCACGTAATGAGAATTATTCATCATCAGTGGTACATGAAATTAAACTCAGAA